CCACCTGCACAAAACCTGATTGTTATAAGTCACTCAACAATTAGAATCAGAACACCTTATTAGGTGGAATGAACATAATCATCCACACATTCATACGTCCACCGTCCACAACCTACTTGAATCTACTTGATAATGACTGGCAAAGCCACTCATGTGGCTTTGTGAACACTTCTTACTACCGGGTGGAATCGCAAGTAACACAGTTTGTGGATGTCTATGCGGGCCCTCCCGTTCAGCCATTTCACATCCAATCAAAGTTACACCAAACAATCTGATAAGTATAGGGACTCCAAACAAGCATGATGATCTATCCCAGCACAATAGATACGAGTAACACACAACAACACACACCATGCATATACAATTCAGTGGCTTCGTTTCGGAATGGAATGAATAATCGAAAACTATAGCCAGCGATTCTACCTCCCAAATCCTCCCAGCAGCTCCCAAGCCCAATCGAATTCCAAGCAGCTCCAATCTCGGAGGCTCTCGGAGGCTCGCCGCACCGTGCCGCGTCGCAAGCCGCGTCCGTCCAGGGCACCCTGGCACTGAAAAGGTACGCTCTCCGGGTGAGTCCGGTTTGCTGGACGCACGTGGTGCTTTTCAGGATAACCCTATAGGATTCTAAGCACCATTCATTTAATAGGCTGAATCCCGAAACACCATTGTTTTACTAAGGGTTTTACACTACAAGGCCAGGTCTTGGAAGTCTGGGGATAAGATGGGATTGCTTTGGACACCCGACGTCTGCTTTGGTATACTGTGTTTCACTTGTAGCACCGTGTTTCTGATTCCTGTGGCGCCTTTGGTTCCCAGCTCAGGGGTGCTTGTCTTTTTGGGGTTCCCTGCTTCTTTCCGGGACAAAAGTGGTGAATGACATGTTCATTCCTCCTTCCTTACTACTGACGAAAGGATAGTAGGGCAAGAGCCTTAAGCTTGCAAACCAGCAGTTACTGATTGATTGCATTGTTGCCCGGCGTTATCTATCCGTATGGAGTTGATCGGGGCTTCTTTGAGAATAGAATAGAGATCCTCTTGTTGTATTACAATCGAGCTTCTCTGGAGAAAACAACATCTTGGAGTTTGGTCTTTGCAAGCACCTCTTCCTACCAAAGTGTTGCCTAAGAAACCGGGGAACCCTTTTTTTTAACCCCCCAACCTCTTTTTTTTAACCTCCACCCTTTTTTTTCAACCCCCCGACCCTGTTTTTTAACCCCCAACCTCTTTTTTCTAGCCCCAACCTCTCTTTTTTAACCCCCCAACCTCCCTTTTTTAACCCCAAAACCTTGCTTTTCTAAACCCCCGACATCCCCCGACCTTTCTTTTTAACCTCCAACCTCTGTTGGACACCCGGCCCTTACTTTTTGAGAGCTGGAGGGGGGTTGTCGTTTTCGTTCTCGTTGTCGTTGTGGTTGCTGTGGTCGTCGTTGTCGTTGTCGTTGTCGTTGTGGTTGTGGTTGTGGTTGTGGTTGTGGTTGT